AAGTTATTTATTAAAGTAATTGTTATCCATATAATTGTGTTCGTGTTAATATCATCAATTACTAAATGCCACTCAAGGAAGGGATAAAGACCAAGGAGCTTGAATAGACTGGTGGCCACACAGACCTATAAAGTCATAGCACTAAATGACTTAACTAATCTCGAGAGTGACACTATCTTGGTCGGTCCTGAAAGCCAGTTTGCCATGTGGCAATCCAAGTTTCCTTGGATAAGGCATGGCTTAAAGAGGCATTCTGCTTTTTTTTGTAGGTAGAAAATTTATTTTTGCTCGAATTTGTGAAAACTATACACCAAAATCTAGAGAAATCTATTTAAAGTTGTTACAAAACTACTGTACGGATTTAAGTAAAATAAACGCCTAATTGTAGAGAAATATATCTCAAACATATTCCAAAGGTTTTAAGCAATTGTATTGAACCATAATAAAACCAAACACCAAGACTTAGTCAAACTGTTTAATTAACAATTAGTACTTTCAGTTTTTAATTGACCCTTTTAAAGATGGGTTCCCTTAGCTAATACTTTTACGACTAGAAAGAAGAGGCGTTCTAATGACATGGAAAAATACCAGTATTTCTCACATGCCCATAATTAATTCATAATTAGCTAACTTAGAGGAGAATTACCAGCAGAATTCCAATGAGTGACCGATCCAGAAAGGTCAAAAAGTATTTTTTTGTTTATCCAGACTGTACATACATGGACATCATTTATGATTGGTTAACACTCTTATTTATATGCAATAAGAAAATAATGAATTGATTAAGAATACATGATAATTCATAAGAAACACCAATTAATCAAATAGTTTGCTTAATTTGACACTAAAAAAATAAGGAAACCCATCTTTAAACAAATTTAGATAAGATACATAGATATAATTAGCATACTTCAGAAATATTTTCAAGTATAATTTACGAAGTTTGTGATAATGAAAACTTTTTACAAAAAAGTGGAATGTTCCATTAATTGTTATACTTAGATCCTTAGAATCATGCCGATACGATGGGGAAATGGGATAAAAATTAACATTTAATCTTCAAAGATTCAATATATAATTATATTAATCTATAACTTTGTTCTTGCCTAAGCTGTAATGTAGTTAATAGGCGTAGTTAACGTCCACTATCTTAAAAATAGTTTCCAACAATATCAGTCTAGTCATTGAAACAATGTATGATTCCATTCACCAGGTATCGTCAAGTATCGATACACCACCCAGTATGCGTATCTTGGCATTTCGTATCGCTATAGATCGATTCACTGATATATCCTATCAGTTGGACTATCAGAAAAGGCAGGCCGAGAAAGCTTGCCTACTTCGGTACATCTGTGCAACTATGTATGCATACCCTACGGTGAATGCTATAAGCTAAGAGAATGATATCCACCAAAATGCTGTTTTCATTTCAGTGTTTCGCAGAGCTTCATCATGGATTTTGGAGAAGATAGATAGCTTATATTAGTTGACAGACTATTTAATTTACTTAATTATATCCACTTCATTGCTGGCGTTAAACAGGGTTGTGTCATCAACGATCTCCAAAAGTATTTGAAAAAATCGAATGCCAACTTTCCTCTTTTAGATAATCCGGTGACCTTATTTTATTCTCCCGAGCACCAAATAGACTTCAAAACTCAATACACCAACTTGAATACACCAGACTGAAAATTCAACCTGAATAATGTTAAAATCTTTAAAAAAAAAACTATTTAAAGATCATGGGTCAGTTTTACTTTCCACAGTATTTAGGCCTTTGTATATCGAAAAACTCTACTTTTAAATGTGTTGTAACGGAACTATATTAGGGGTCTGCAGGCAATTCATAGTAATAAAATCATTTAACATTTGGATGAATAATATACATTATAATATTTTTGTATAACTTTTAATTGATGTCCCAACTAGTGCATCATATTTGTTTTTATGTATTAGATCTATTTTTTTTTCTTTGCTGATTTTTAACATTTTTTGCTATTTCTTACAATTTGTTTATTTAAACCATATACACTAGACTCTTTGTCCCCTGGGAAATTCTGTGGCCCTTACCTGGCCCTCTCACCTAATTTATCATAGAATCACTATCAAATAATGTAATGTTATAGGGTAGCCTGGGGTAATTGAAATAACCAGACAGGGTTCTTTTATGGTTTTAATATAGGTGTGAAACAGAAATCAAAAACCCTGCAATACACAAATATAACAATTAAATACAATTATAAAATATAACATACAAATAAAATACAAATCTTTAGTTTTACAATAAACGAAATTGCCAACTATAACACAAAACCTAATGCATTAATATTTGAAATAAATAATTATGCAACGTAATATACATTTGTAATACATAGGTTGTAAATAACTCTTACCCGAAGTGGGGTTTAAAGATGAATATAACTATGTAACTTATTATTTACCATACAAAGTATTCCTGAAACAGGACATTAATTCAAATAACTAAAATTAAAACACTAATGTAATTGACTTCTATAAATGTAAAAAATATGGTTACTTTATGAAAACTTACTAATGATATTATTTAATTGTATACTTAAACTAATACTTATAAAACACTTTAACATACCTCTAAACTATATCCAATAAAATCCAGATTACCATATGAAATTCAAACACAACAAACTGACTTGACTATACAAAAGCTAGGTAACTAATGACTCTGTATCCAGGTATCCCAATACCCCAAAAGAATGTAACAACAAAGTGATGAAAGATCACTGAACAAAGTTTATAGAATTAAACTCAAGAAGAAATAAGAAGAGTAAGAGAGAAAATAGAAAGTCAGAACAAATTAGAAGATTAGTAATAAGTTTTTGCTGTAAAAATAAATCATTCATTAACATTAAAGTCACATTCTCTCATACTATAACAGTAACAGTTAGGGTCCATTAGAACATTACATCCTGAATGTGCAATAAACCCAAGTCAAATCAACCCCAACCCCCCCTATTTACCCTCCTTGAAAGACCCAAATAAAATTGCCATGTTATGCTTCCTGACAAGGGGTATATGTTGAAATCTGAATTATTCATTATCAATTATTACCATTATTACCTAGACCGACCCTTCTTACAACACATAGACTGTATGCTGTCAGATCTGTGAGTGTGAAACTTGGCAAGATGTAGTATTTTGCTGTTATCTGTATTCGTTTATCAGTTGTTCCCCCTTTTACCAATAGACTTTATATGACAACTAATAAATGACAGACTGGTTTGATGTATAGTGTATATATCTATATTGTGCAGGTCTGCACACGCGACAATCTTTCTTATACTATTATTAGTCATAGTTATAAATAAAGGATTACGTGACTAACATTACGGCAGTCTACTCAGGTCCGTAGCTATAAGGTATAAGGGGGCAATGACCATCCCCTCTCCCCAGAAAAAAATCTGACAACCGACCAATTTTATTACTACAACTAAACAGCATATACCATTGCTCCTCTTTGAACTGAGTCTACTATATACAACAACAGATGCATTTATATTGTATACATATATAAAAAATTTCAAATTATGGCTGACGTAACTTCCTGCGAATATTAATCGATTCGAAAAGATTACTAAGCGGCTCTGTCGAAATCGAAACTAGAATAAAATGACACACAGTAGCATGAGTTCATCAAACTCTAAACCACTTAAAGACGGGAAGAAATACCACTATTTTATTCTCTATAACTATTATGAAGGTCCGCAAAGTAGAAGACAAGGAGATCATCTTCTATCTTCGAATTTTTTAAAGGCTTTGGAGGAAAAGCTATGTGAGGAAGGATATGATAAAGTAATGTATCACGATAAAGTCATAAGCGGAAGAAGTATTTTTCATGATATATTTCACATGGTTGAAGAATCAGGGAAAATTGTGGTGCTTCTCACTCCTGAATTCTTACATGATGGTTGGAAAAAGTATACCGAACAAGCTACTATAAAAAACCTTTTAGATAAACAGGAAGCGCATACTAGGTTCATACCTATTGCAATTAACATGGAACCAGACGATATTCCTTATGACTTGGGTTTATCAGTTTCTAAAATCATTTACACGGGTTATGAAAATAATGAAGCAGATGAGGGTGTCTGGGAGAGAGTCCTCGAGGCAATTGATCAAACAGAAATCCACTATGAGCAGAATAGAAAACCAGATGCCGAATTGTGTGTTCCCAATAGTGCAGGTAGGTATGTCTTTTTAAGTGCAATACGAACCAAATATCCGATATCACTTTTTATGGTATATGAGGTTCATCCGCCATATATACGCATTGGCTAACACTTAACATACATTTATAAATGTTATACACTGTTCAACATTGTCCAAGGTACATCTTAGGTAACCCCTGTGATGGTAAGGGAAAGAGTAGGACGATTACACCATCGTTTACACCATGTCGATTATCATGTGCGGAGAATGCATTTGAAAGGAAAATGAATCTGATTTGATGATGACGTCTGTCTTGCAGACGATAAAACTATTGAAGACAATTCAAACATGTTTTTATTATAAATCCTGTTAGGAACGCGATAATCTTGTCGTGAAAGCACGGGCACAGGCGAAATTTTACTCAAGATTCGAATTCGTGACAAAAATCGCAGACCACGACCGTTCGTGTGGTAGGGGAAAGAGTAGATTACCGTCCATTAAGCCAGAGAATAAGGATTATTACTACCACAAATTGGGAATCACGCAACATTAGATATTTTTTTTTCAGCAGATACGCGTATGTTTCAAGGCGCTCCTACAATCGATTTGAAATGTAACGATTTAGAGGTTGATGGAGATACAAGTACGGAGGAGTGTTACCACAGACAACATTGCACATTCTTAAAATATTTACATATTTATTTCTTGTATATTTACTTTTCAGCGCAAATCAAAACCTCACAAGGCGCTCCTACAATCGATTTGAACGATAACGATATAGACGTCGATGGACCTCACACTGCTGTTGTTGATGGAGATAGAAGTACTGACGAAAATGTTATAGCTAAAACAATAAATGCTTCAGGGCAGTCTGTTGATGATGGAACTGATCATTCACCTCTGACAAATGGATCAAGAGAAGACGGAGATATTACTTTCCGATCTAAAACGTTTTCCAGCTCGGCAACTACAAACAGTCCACCACAACCCTGTAAGTAGTAGTATATTATATTGTATAATAATGACATGGATATTTTACGGTATTATGGGTGGGTATCTTTCAAGATTAAGCTGGGATAAAGACCAAGGAACTTGAATAGACTGGTGGCACTAAATGACGCAACTAATCTCGAGAGTGACACCATCTTGGTAGGTCCTGAAAGCCAGTTTGTCATATGGCAACCGTGAATGAAAAACAAATTTCCTTAGGTAAGGCATGGCTTAAAGAGGCATTCCGCTTTTTTTGTAGGTAGAAAATTTATTTTCGCTCGAATTTGTGAAAACTATACACCAAAATCTAGAGAAATCTATTTAAAGTTGTTACAAAACTACTGTACGGATTTAAGTAAAATAAACGCCTAATTGTAGAGAAATATATCTCAAACATATTCCAAAGGTTTTAAGCAATTGTATTGAACCATAATAAAACCAAACACCAAGACTTAGTCAAACTGTTTAATTAACAATTAGTACTTTCAGTTTTTAATTGACCCTTTTAAAGATGGGTTCCCTTAGCTAATACTTTTACGACTAGAAAGAAGAGGCGTTCTAATGACATGGAAAAATACCAGTATTTCTCACATGCCCATAATTAATTCATAATTAGCTAACTTAGAGGAGAATTACCAGCAGAATTCCAATGAGTGACCGATCAAGAAAGGTCAAAAAGTATTTTTTTGTTTATCCAGACTGTACATACATGGACATCATTTATGATTGGTTAACACTCTTATTTATATGCAATAAGAAAATAATGAATTGATTAAGAATACATGATAATTCATAAGAAACACCAATTAATCAAATAGTTTGCTTAATTTGACACTAAAAAAATAAGGAAACCCATCTTTAAACAAATTTAGATAAGATACATAGATATAATTAGCATACTTCAGAAATATTTTCAAGTATAATTTACGAAGTTTGTGATAAGAAAACTTTACAAAAAGTGAA